GCGGACAAAAGAGCATCCCCTATGCGACAACAACGCATAAACAACGCGAATCGCGATCTATATTGCGGAAGGAGGGCGGGTTGCCTCTCCTTTCTCGCTGTTGAGGTGTTCGAGAGTGAGTTTATAAAAGAGATGCGCAGCAGTTGCTCCACTCCCTTCCTTCTTCGTCCCCGCTCTAATCCCAAAAGTCTATAAATACTGGAAGGGAGTTTATTCTCCAAAGGGTCGTTTGCAGGATCGCAGTTGTACCCCGTGACACGGCACCGCGATGACGCTTTAATCCAACGGCGGCGGCCCGAAACGTCGTGCAGAATTTGTGGTGTCGTTTCACACGGCCGATAACGCTTCGATAACCACAGCAGTCAGGTCTTGCGAGATGAATCACGGGAAACTCGAATCCTTTAGGAATTCAGATTCTACAACGGTTAACTTCAAATGCAAAGTGAACAGACAGAGATAAATTATTTAGAAAGAAATTCTGAGAATGGGAAGTATCGTAAAGATACAGAAAAACGATTCGACCGAAAACGTTAAAGGACGATGGGTAAAATAAACTGATTTTTTACTTCAGAATGACAAATAAAAGCGGTGTATGTTTCTTTGTTAGTTTTTGAGTAATTAAATTCCGATTTTGATTTTTAAGAAATTTAATTTAATTTGTTAGGAAAGCATTAAAATTTTTTCAAGATCAGAATTAGGGCTTCAGACCATCACAAAGATGATCGTAATTGAGTCGTGAAACATGAATCGTAATCGTAGATCAACGCACAATGTTTTGGTCAACCTACAACTACGACTTACGTTTCACGACTCAGTTACGATTATCTTTGCGCTTAGGCCCTTAGATTTAGCAACCTAAACAAAAAAAAATATCACTTTTACTTGCCACTCCGGGGAGGAAAAGTTATCGATCATTTTACCTCTTTTATATATGGTTAATTATGATTTTATATTTCTTTTATTAAAATTATCTTTTTTTAATGTATCATATTCTAATAATATATGCAACGAGTATATTATCTAAATATATTCTCTAAATTCTTTGGAGTGAAACTCCCTTCAGAGTGAGAGTCACTTTAAAAGTTTAGTAAAAGAAAATTTACGTTCATATATTTATTATAAATATAAGTTAAAAAACTGAATATATTTCTGTAGTTTATCGAAAATAAAAATAGAGACAATGTGAGTTTTGCAAAAATATAACATACACTTTATACAGTATATATAGACATTTTTCGAAATTATTTTGTTAAATTGGTATGTTAAGTTTCTCTCTCTTTCTCTCTCTCTCTCTCACACACACGCACGCACGCACGCACGCACGCACGCACGCACACGTGATGTCTTTAGGATATAAATCCTCAAAATATATCCTTCATTGTTGTCTAATTAACCGAACAACCAGATCATTGTTACGGTTCTTCCTTCGATGTTCGTATGCCTATTTTATCCTGTTTCTATCTCGATGTAAACGATTCGTGCCGGCGATTTCGGACAACACTAGACCCAGTGGCAAACGTCAACAGTCGAGGATGCAACGTAAACTTGGACAGAATCGCTCGTAGCATGTTCCCCAGCGCGCTTTCAGTTCACGAAACCATGACAATTGCCGGCGCGTTACAGTCAATTCCGCAGCATTAGGGCAGCTGGTCCGGTCGAGATTCCGAGTATTCGAGTATACTCGAAAAGGGACGAAAGAAAGGGAGAGAAAGAGCTAGCGGAGGCGTAGGGGAACCGTAGGTGGCCTATTGTTGAACCGGAATCCGCATTCTCCTTTAACCCTCCGTGCCGCCATTGACTGTCTTTGGGTTCATGCCGACGACGAGAAAACGAGTAGAAACTCACTCTCCGACGCAGTAATGGAGCGATCGAGAATACTTTCCCTGAAATCGTTGGCTACTTCCACCCCGACTGTATTTATTAACCTACTGTATTCGATTGACATCTACGAGGCAACATAGGGTGAGGGAACTTACGTGGTTGCATTGTTACATGAAGAAACTGATGAGATCCTATTAATTTTACGTCACAGGATTGTCCAGTAAACTAATGACTTTAATTTGACATTTTAAACCGATACTTTAATTCTCAAAAGATGTAAAAATTATTAACTAATTTTTTCTATTTTTTATATAATTATAGTAATTATAGTAATTTATTAATATATTCCTAATATAAAGTCTTATTTATATAAATCAATATTTAATTATTTTTTTACGTATACGTATAAATATATAGTAATTCTCATTTTTTTATATGTAACGCAAGATTAATCCTATATAGACAAACATTGAGAGATTGGGACTTCGTAGAAAGTAGGATATTTACTTTACATGCGACTCTTATCTACCGCGAGCATTAACCTTCTCACTATATACACATTATTATCTTTTCCCAGCTTATATATCCTAAATAAATGATAAGCCTATTGATTGAAATCAGAAGGCCGATCTTCAAAAACACTCGAAATTAATCAGGTTTATACCATAACATATCGAACGGATTTATGCACCATGATTAAATTTTTATTTTATTTAAAAGCTTTTATTTGAATTTTAAAGCGTAAATTTGCAATCTCAAATATTGTAATAATTTATAATATCATGATAAAAATATTTCGACAATAAAGAGTTAACTCTCTTAAGAGAGTTATATATATAACTTGAAATGTTTACTTATATATAATCTTACTTATATATAACTTATATACAATATAATCTTGAAATATTAGCACAGATATAAATAAATAATATAAAATATAAAACATTAACATTTGAAACTTTAACCATAATTTTACTGATTTCAGAAAAATAAAATTTTATACAATTGTAAAATAAAATGGTTTTATGAAATGTTTTAATTATATAATACAAAAATATCTGAGAGAGTACGGAATACGTAATATTTATAATTTTTCTCTCAAAATATAATAATTTTAATTTAAATTAAACTTTTTTAATGCTAATAGAATCTAATTGATCTAATTACGTGATTATTTTAAGATTTATCATCATGTGCTTTCAGGTTTCTTGAATAAATAATAATTAATAATCGATAATTAATAATAGTTAACTTTTTATCTTATGGAACCTTAAAGATTGAATTTGATTATTCGTTTATTTATTCTATTTTTCAATGTTCAGTCTTACTGCTTAAAAAATTTACATTTTAAAATGCAAGAATCCGTTATCTCGGTAAAGTTTTCTTTTTCACACTAGACGCGTTCCACACCAGGCAATACACACCAGCAGGAGCGGTTAAAAAAAATCGTAAACACGGCAGTTACACGGACAACGTCATAAAGTTGGCCAACGCGTGTAACGAAGACGGTTAGACTACGCGTGCGAGTGCATGTCTTTTCGAGAATCAGACTAATTGTGCGTGCACAGACATTCTAAAATGAGGAATTAAGACGAGAACGTGTGAAAAAGTCTTGTCATTGAGATATTTCAGGAATGCAAGAAGGCAGTACTAATATAGATATGTATAGGTACTATAATATATATATCCTTTCATAAATCGAAGTCATCTAGTCATTATATCTATTATTAATCGGATCAAATTAATACAGTATTTTAGAAATAACTGAGTAACATGAAATATCTACAAATGCGGTTATAATTAATTTATTCAATATAAAGTCAATTGCAGTAATGGATGAACAGTTAAATGGATTTAGTATCTCGAACAATCTGAAGAGGTAATTTTTTGAGCGAATATTTTAAAACAAAATTATTTTACGGTACTGCTTCAATCTCTAAATTACCTACTTACAGTGAAATCTCACTCCAAAAGAGATAAAATACTGTCCCTATTAAAAAAAGAATGGAATTAAGATGAAACTGGAATTTGCATTCTTGAATAAGAGAGACAAAGTTTCACTCTTTTTTGGAGTAAAAGATTCACTCCAAAGGAAAGAAATCTTACTCTTCTTTTAGAGTGAATCTCAGTTCAAAAGTATGAAATCTCACTCACAAAAAAGAGTAAGAATCTGCCACTTATTCAAGAGTGTAAATTTTACACTTTTTTTCAATAGTGGCAGTATTTTAGTTCTTTTGGACTGAGATTTCACTCCAAGAAATTCAGAAAGCAGAAATGATGGCTGTAAGTTTTAATCCCTATATATAAAATCGATTTTGAAAGTAAGGTTCGAAAATAGAGCACACATTTAATAAGCTGCATTTGTCAGTTTTCTTTAGTAATTAGAAATTAAATTATAATTTTAAATTTATAATTAAAATTTTTTATTTTCTATAATTCTATAAGGAGAGTGACAGTATTTACAACCAATCTCATAAATTAATTGTACTTTGATTATGAAATGATAATTTAAATATGAATTTAAACAAAACTTGCAATTTTAGAAAATTAAAATAATAGATACTTTGACATCTCATTTTATGAAACATTTACACAATAAAAAGTAATTATTTTATACTAATCTTTCTCGTGAGAAAAAATAATAACATTTTATAATTATATTCATTATTATATTTTTATATCTTTATAATGTTAGTACTTATCCTATCTCAAATTACAACAAAATTTAAATTTTCATAAACATTCTGATTTTATTTTATTTTCGGTATTCTATTGCTAAAGAATCGAAATCAACAATATTAAATTGAAATATGGCACTTTATTTTTACGTCTAGCTTATTAAAAAACAGAATAAATATTTTGTAAACATTTTATACACGTTACTTTATATCGAATTATTTTATTTCTACGCGCACTCGCTCGTACAATTTCGTGTGATACAAGCGAAAGAATTTTCTTTGTCGAGGATTTTGAGTGTATGTGTGTACGTGAGTGTATGCGGACGTAGTTTTCTTTTCTCAAAGCCAGAGAAAGTGAGAAGATGATCTATGATGCAGAGATTACTAGATCTACAGACGGTAACGTTATCCAACTGTATCCGTTATCAGCTATCACTAATTGGCAAGCACATATATGTATACATTCATTCATATGTGTGTATATGTGATGTCTATACTCACGTAATTTTTCCACGTTCTTCCTCCGCGTTGACGCGTATCTGTAACACAAAATGACGAGAGATATTAATAAGATATAAATAGGTTATGCATTTAGGTAATAATCATACGCGTATGTGTGTTTTAAAGATTGAATTTTGAGATTCTGCAAATATACGATTAATATATATATATATATAAAGCAACGCTAATTAAAATATATTTCTTTAATTATCTGCAATTGCCTCATTATAATTCAACTGCAATAATATACTGCGCCATTAGTATTAATTTATATTCACATTACATTTGTATTATGAAGATATAACTTCTTGACGGAGTAGATATACTTATGAGATAGCAGAGATTATACAACAGGATGATAAAACGTAAAGGAAAAAGAAAGAAGATAGTAATGGTTCCTTCATGTATTATCAGCACACACATATATGTATTTCCTGCTAGATGAGAATTCACAGTTACTGTATCGAATAATCGATATTCGATAAAAAAATATATCAATGTTAAATTTGATTAAAATCTAAAATCATTAAAATTAATAACTTTCATAATATTTTAAAAAGGTATATGAAAAAAATAATTACAAAATTACGTTTTAAATGTTCATGAAATAAAGAAAAATTATATCGTTATATAAAATAAAATCAAAATTGAAAAATATATTAATCGAGCGATCCTGGTGTTTCTACATACGATACGCTCGTTCTCTCGCTCGTGATTCGCGTCGAAGATATCGGTATGTTGTACAGATTATATACTAAGCTTTTGCATTGGAGGGATTTCACTAATCCTTTCCCTATATGTAATCCCATTATCGGACATTTTCCTTATACTACGAATATTGCACGTACGTTAGCAGCTTCGTGCGCTCTTTGAAGCTACGAGCTTTCGAAAATAATTATATGCAGTTCTCAGAAAATTATTAACGTACAATCTTCCTTAGAAATTAATTTCATAAATCAATAAATAAATCAATAAATCAATAAATTCATAAATCAATCAATAAATAAAAGTAGGGCTACGAGCCAGTTACAATATAAAGAATATTTAATAATCATACAAACGTTTCGACGCCGATCGGGTCATTTTCAATGTAAACACAAACAATATTACATAAATTGTCGGAATATTCGGTCAGATTATAATATCCAGTAAAATACGTCGGTTATTTCCGTATTCCCTATTATTAGATATGTGCGGTCCATATGCAAAACTAGCATCACTTGACTGATGTAAAAGTGATCTTATCTCACTTTTCAAAAATCTACAAATAATTCCAAAAATCTTACAAATAATTCCAAATAATAACCTGACATTGCGTTACAGTTTAAATTATCAAGTGTGTATATTTTATAGTAATTTAGTACCAATTAAGTTACATACATATATATACCTTGATTTGTCGTAATGATGTGAGTCACGCCGAGAGAAAAACGCAAAATTAACTAAGTCATATACAGTATAATAAAAGATAAGCCATGATACGATATATTGGAGAGAACACATGTATCTTCGACGATGTCAGGCGACGTTATGATAAAAAGGAAACAAGAAAACAAAGAAAAGATGATAATTGGAAGGGGACAGAGGACAATGTTAAGAAGGGGAAAGAACTTGAATAATATTTAGATGATTCTGGCAGAGAATCTGTATCATTTTGTTTGTTTATCCCATGTTTTTGACTTTTAATGTGAATCATCTCCGATATTAGTCTCTTATTATAAGGAGCTTTTATGTCTAAATTTCAACATTACCCCAGTCAAAATTATGATTCTGGTCAATGCGGTGATTGGTAATCACCGTTGGAGATTTTGACTTCTTATTATCGGAGACATGTGTAATCTTGTCTTTAATTATCTTTTTGTCTGACCTACGTAACTAACATCGCAATCATCACAAGAAGAATTTCATAAATATTTGTATTGATTTTTTAATTTTATTTAGATTAATCTAAATTTGGATTAATCTAAAATGTGCAGGATTATCAAGTAAGCAGGAAACTTATAAAGGCTGTAGTTTTTCGAGATATTTTAAAAAAGAAAACATATGTATAGCGTTTTTTTTCTTCTTAACATCAACCTTTAATAAAACATCCTCATTAATAATTATTCTGCAATTTCACAAGTTCCTGATTATACTTAAGATATTTCCTGCCGTGAAAGAATCTTAGTCATCCACAAAGTAATGGGTTCATTTAATGACACAAGTCGACACAAACATCATTCTTTCTTAGCATTCAATGAGTAACAAGGACAGAACGACACTTGTACCATCAAATGGAAAGCATTCATTATGAACTTACTCTTCGGGAGATTATCCTGACTCTTCAAAAATAATTATTATCTTTTAGAGATTAACATCGAAAACAATTTTTTAAAAGCAACCAATACCATTGGGTTTTTATAGAAAAGAAAAATAAAATATATCTTTGCTTTCTCAGTCAGTCGTAGCAATAATGTCTTTCGGATACTCGGATACGAGTAAAATATGAATACGTGCAGCAGACTGAATCGCGTGTTCTGCAGTCAGTGTATACGTTGGTGTAGCGATACGGTGACACGTATCAAACGCATTGATTTCGCATAGCCAACATCTCACTCGCGCTGCCATGCAGACTCGGGTACACATACCTGCCCGGCTGCGCGTGTGTAATGGCCCCGCGGGACCCAAGACCCTTCCGGGACCCTTTCTATGTGCGGCACCGGGATCGACTTGAATTAAAGGGGAACGACCCAGGAGTGGTGCCAACTTAATGAGGGACCACCTAGCTTTAACTGTTTGTTTTTCGAGAGACCGGGCCCCGCGAAGAGAGAAAATGCCCGTCTCGGACCCGCCGGAGGAGGCCTATACATACACACACATACATTATACACACACACGCGTGCGCGTACGCACACACATATATATATATATATATAGACGCGTTCACGGTCAGGCGGTCCCATTTATGGCTTGTATCGCCAACCCTATTGCCATAACTTCCGCGATTTGGGCGTGAAATTACACGCGCAGGAATCGGTATGAGAGGATCGTCGATAGTTCGATAAAGGTGTTCGATCCCTCGTTCTCTTCTGGCCGCTGTCCTTTTTGTCCAGGTTTCCATTCTGCGCTCGATCAGGCTCTACCTGAGCAATTTGTTACTTTATCTGGTGTGTGTAATTTACAACAGTGTGATACGCGCTGTTTCTCGCGCCAAAGATAACCATTCGACTGATTTATTTCTGATGATATCTTCTCAAGCTTTAAATTTTTTTCATTTATTCGAAAGAAAATAATTATCAGTATTAAGTTAATATAATAATTTTCAGAGTAGAAAAAAATGATTGATATTTATTCTAAAAATAATCATGTAAAATTGTTATACCATAACTGTTTACATAACAGTTCTTTCTAATGAAATATATTATTTTAAAATATACAGCTAAATTTATCACTATCTATCTCAGTGTATTGCTAGTAATTTTTGTATTGACTTTACATAGAATGCGACATTTTCTAGTAAAAAAATTATCTGCTTCAAACTCGATAGATATACTTTAAAGGCAAATTGCTATATTTAGTGTTATATATTATACGGTTCATTGACTCTTCAAAGGTTTTTTTCTATCTGTGATTATGATATGTCACCGAAATAAAAAATGTATAAAGGTTACTGATGCAAAGTGAGAAGAACAACTTGATTGACATTTCGATATGTAAATATTTAAACGGTGACAGAATAAAGAACTTCGTTGGATAAAAGTGCCGCGGAGATACTGGTGTTTCGACGACTGTGTAGGCTATCGGTCATTATTTATCGCAGGATGAGCTGTCGCCCTAAGGCGAAATTAAAATCCGAAAGTCGCCGATAAGGCGAAGACGATGGAACGTGAAACGAAACGGAGAGACAAAGAAAGCGAGAGAGAAAGACACAAAGGTCGTTTATACGATAAAGTGTTCTATGAAAAATACGCGTACGTGGCACTCGACCACGATTTAATTTATCATCGACAGACAGTGCAGGAAAAGGCGTAACGATATGACTCTTACGAACACTATATTCATATTGCGTTGTTCATGTTTGTGTTCATACCGCAAGCATTCGGCCACACTTTTACACGAGAATTTTCACTGGAAGCGCACAAAGGAAAATCGGAAAATGATTGATAAGTATCCAAGGTGAAAATAGAACAATTTCTGCATTCATTATTTCAAGAGCACTTCCTTTCTTTTCCTTTTTTTATTTATTACATTAATAATATGTATAAATCTTTGCTATCACATAATATGTACAAATCTTTGTTATCACATCTTTGTTATAACATGTTTTTTTATATTAATTCTCGCACGATAAAACCTGAATTTGCTCTCTATAGTCTCGAAGATTTTCCTGTCGAGGGAGAATACTTTTTCTCTCACAAGCGCAGGATATCCTGCTTATTATATCAATCCATATATATATATACACACACACATCTATTTTTATTCCGCGCACGCATCCATCTACTTCTACAATTTCTCACAAGATTAAACTCAAATTTTCTCTTGATAGTTACGCACGATCGAACGAAGCGCAGCGGGACTTTCGCAGGAGTGCTCCTTCAAACGAATATATTTCTATTAACGTATCCCGCGTGTCGTTCGAATCTTCCGCGAGCTGAAACATGAAATGTCACTTACTCGAACACATCGCTCGGCACACACACGAACACACACACACACACACACACACACACACATACACACACGTTTCGACACGATCGAAAATGGTCTAGACCGCGACAGAGTGGAAAGTTTATTACTATACGAAGATATTATTACAAAGAATATATTGTTATATATTGCTTCTAATTATATTTCATGAATTCAAAAACAAAACAAAAAAAAGCTTCCTTTAATATTTTAACATTGTAACAAGATATTGATAATTCAACTATCTTAAGCATCACATTTATGGAATTGCAAAATAAACCGAGCTTATTCTTCAAATATTTAAATCCACATTATAGTTGATATATGGTTAATGCTAATCTCTCTCATACACATACACACAACCCATCTA